ATACGTATATGTCATACATCGAAGAGTTAGCCGATCGAATTGTTCGACTTCTGTTAGCATATGGGCTCCTATGCGGATGCCTCGATATTGCCTGAAAATTTATTATGATAATCTGGTTGGTTGTGGCTAGCAGGAGAATACAGGAAGCGCGTTTCGTCCTATTTGGGACTCGTCAGCTGGATGTACCTGCAACCCAGTGATGTTGTTCTCACTGAGACTTGACCCTCGTACGCATCGCTTCAAACGCCAAGGCGTTATCCACTATGCCACAGAGGAACGATAGCCACTTTTTATACAACGGGTGATAGTTATTACTATTTATTGACATTCTTGTTATTTTGAGGGAGTTGTCTGGATTTGGAAATATTTCAAGGGAATCTGGGAGCACTGGACAGCAAAGCCTGATGGTCGTGAGAAAAGTTACTCAACGATGACATTGGGTGGCGGTTGCGATATATCGTGAGGTAACAGAAGTTTGAAATATGGACCATTGGATTCTGACCCAATGGCTAGCTCTATGGTAACTTGCTGACCACGGAACCTGGAGGTCGCTGGTTCGATCCCTGACGGGGTCATGGGTACGCATTGCTGAAGAGTCCCCCACTGGGACGAACCAGGTGTCCAGTGCTTCGAGATTTCCTTTTCTCTTCCAACTGATGTCAGTCTAAGATGACTAACAACTTGAAATACTTTTTATTCTCCGTTGTTTTGTTGAATCGAATTGTTCGACCTCTATTGGCATATGGGCTCCTATGCGAATGCCTCGATATTGGCTGAATGTTAATTATGAGAATTTGGTTGATTGTGGCTAGCAGAACAACAAAACAACGGAGAATGACAAGTATGTCAATAAATAGTAATAACTGTCATCCGTTGTACAAGAAGTGGCTACTCATTTTAGTTTCGATACATCTTTTGAGATTTCAATTTTTAATTAGTATTTAATATGAGAGCTTAACAGATGTCTCTAAATTCTTTTGAAAAGTCCTAAACAGGATGAAATGAGTGTCTTGGATTCCTCTACAAGACACCAGGCAAATTACAATGTCATCAGTACCACGTTATTATGAAACAAGATGAAGGTGATTAGTTTATGTATTATTTACAAATTGTCGGGCTCATTTCAAGCTAACAAGTTTGAACTCTGTGGTCAGGGAAACGATATATTACTTCAGGTATGTCAGTGATACTTTTATTGTTTGTGATGATATGAATCATGCATCAAAGTTGTTCGACACTTTCAGTCAAGTTCATCCAAATATTAACTTTACAATGGAGTGCTAAACTGAGGACTGATCTTATTTTTTGGATTTAAGTATAAGACCGAGATATGATGCTACAGGTGAGATTACTACCCACAGGAGAAGACACGTGGATTGGTGAGTACCGTCACTACATTAGTTTCTGTCCTATCAGCCATAAGTGTGGTTTAGTCAGTACACTATTCACTAGAATAAGGACAGTGTGCTCAAAAGACGAGCAAGAAGAAGAATTCAGTATAATTGAAAAGGCTGTTACAGAGAATGGATATCCGAAGAAATTCATCATAAAACATAGATGAGAATTTACTGAGGGACCGAATCATCCAACTGTTGAGAAGAAACCTGTTTTCCTTCACGTAGCATTCAAAGGGGATGAGACACCAGAAAGAATAGACAGAAAGAAGAATAAAAGGTGCATTGGGAAGGAGCTTCCCTCTTGCCTGACTGATCACAGTTAACAGTACATTATGCTCAATAACACTCTTAAAAGTAGACAAATACTCGTCTCACATCACTTCCAAATATGTATATCAATTCACCTATGCTTGTGGAAGGACGGAGGGAAAGAAGAGCGTCTACTAAATTTTATGAGCATATTTTGGGAAATTTGTGTTTGGAAGGTGGCAAGGTCTTTAAAAGCGCAATGGCTAAGCATCTGATGGAGACAGGACATCAAGTGGATGTTACTCAATCCTTCATGATAATCAACAAGCAAACAGCGCGATGTTTATTACGGTTCACGGAAGCTCTTGACATAAAACATTTTCAATCCGACCTATGTATCCAGTTTTTCATGTAATTACATAACCCATTAGATCACAAACAGTCCCTTCTTATATAATGGTTTTCATTTGTCGTCCCCCCCTACTTCACATCTCCAGAATCTCCTATCTCATCAGACATAAATTGTCATCGCTTTTACCTTAGAACCGTAATTATCGATCCCGTATTACAATGAATCACTACTTCATTGTTAATCCTGAATTTCATGTCTCCATTTATTTCTACATATTTAAAGTGTTTCATATCATTATTTATTATTATTATTATTAGTCCCTTGGGTTCCTAGTGGAACATAGGGCTTCAGTAGCACGTCTCTTGTGATCTCTGTTCTCTGAGATCTTTTGAACCTGGTCCCATGACAGCCCAGAAGCTCTCATTTCCTCCTCGCACAATCTCCTCCATGTCACCCTCGCCTCGGACGCCCAACTCGTAGCTTCCCATGGGATTCCACTCGAGCAACTGGCCTGACACGTGATGTCCTCAGTCGGCCTTCTCAGTGCATGCCCAATCCATCTCCACTTCCTCCTGCATATTTGTTGCGTGATAGGTTCTTGGTTGGTTCGTTCCCAGAGCTCCTTGTTGCTTATTCTTTCTGGCAATCCATCTGATCTTCAGTAGCGAGCCAGCGTAAGCAGTTGCTGATGAATGTCTGTAGTTTATTGGAAATGCCTTTCGTGACGCGCCAAGTCTCTGAACCATACAAGAGCACTGACTTGACTGAATTGGTGTTGAAAATCCGGATCTTGTTCCGCATGCTGAGTGCAGAAGATCTCCACACTGGTTTCAGGCTAATGAACGCCTGTCTTGCTTTTCCGATTCTGACTTTGACGTCCTCGTCCGTCCCGCCTGTAGTTGAAACAATGCTTCCTAGATAAGTGAAGGAGGTTACTTCCTTTAAGTTTCTCCCGTTGACGGTGATTGGAGTTTGTTGTTGTTGTTGATGGTGGTGGTGCGGTATCTTCATCACTTTTGTCTTCTCTATATTCACTTGAAGTCCCGTCTTATCTGTCTCTTCTATCAACTTGTTAGTTTTGCCTGCAGATCTTCAAGTTTATGTGACATTAGGCACAAGTCATCGGCGAAATCCAGATCTTCTAGGTTCTTTTCCGCAGTCCAGCGTATCCCCCTCTTCTCGCTCACCACTGTTTGCTGCATGATCCAGTCCACCACAACCAGGAATATCATGGGGGATAGTAGGCAACCTTGTTTCACTCCTGTCTCCACTCCACCTCAGAAGCATCACTGAGCTTCCCATTGTGAATTACTTGGCATGTGGCATCTTCATATAGTTGTTGAATGAGGCGGATAAAGGTTTGCGGTACTCCGTAGTATTGAAGCAGTTTCCAAATTACTTGTTTCATATCATTATTACTACTAATACTTCATTTCGATTGTAGGCTGTTTTCAGCTGATGAAAGGCCATGAAATAAAAGGGAGGTCATTTTATTCTGTAAATGTCTTTAGTCCTGCATTGTTCAAATTTGTCAAGGGAACTAAATGTATGGCATAATGCTAACATTCCACATAGTGGAATAGGTTTTCGACTACACAACTGTGGTGTTAACACAGTTTCCTTTGAAAATCATTTTGTAAAAATCGAAAAATTCAGTCTCTAATACAAAAGTTTCCTTAACTATCGAATCATTGGGAACCTTCAGATGACTCGTAAATAACTTGCAAGTTTATTTAAGACATGCCTCTCCATTCAAGTCATCACTTAGTGGTTCTATTCGGTTGGTTTGAATATACTGGCTATATAAGCTGGATGCGTTCAGGCACTCTATTGATGAGCTCGACTACAAGCTAAATATTGCTATCCGGTATTTTGACCGCCATGACCTGGCGTGTAGTCACTTTAGACATAAGCAAAATAACAGCATAACAAGTTGCTGTTACAATAACAAAAAAATTGTGTTAAATACTCTAGGTTGATTGAGACGAAGCATAAGAGTTTAATGAACGATGATCACGCTCGACTGCAGAATGAAGGAAATTGGAAAATGAGGACCATATGATTTCGATTTAATGGCTAATTAACAACGTGGTCACTGCAAGACCAGATGGCTCTTAGCTCACTTGTGGCCTGGATTGTGAGTATACAATATTGAGGAGTCCAATGTTAGGACGAAACAGCTGTCCTGCTCCCACAGGTTTTCAATGGTTCACCAAATGATGTCAACTCAATGAAAATATTGCCATAAACTAACCTTATAGTGAGCATATTCTAATCAACTGACAAACAGACGTCGAGCAGTTCAGTCCTGTATAGCAACGAGAAATGACTCAGTAGCCTAATGGAAAACGCTTTCGCATCTGAAGCGATGGACACGAGGTTCAAGTCTCACTGGGAATAAGATCACTCACTAGGGTGCAGGTACATCCAGCTGACGAGTCACAAATTGGACGAAAGGCCTGTCATGAATGAATTCCAGTGCCTATCACCAAGATGTGTACTTATGAATAGTTAAGTCATATATTCTGATCAAATACACATAAGTCTCTGTCGTAGGGTTTACCAGTTAACATGTACTTATGGTCACACATATATAGTGTGGACCCGTCGATCTCTGCAAGTAGGAGCTATTGAGAAAATTCCAAGATTGCTGCAAAGAAAGATAGAATCGAATGATACCAGTGACTCAGGCGAAAGATGTCCAACTTCGTTTATACTAAGCGTATCATTTAGATGGGTCGTCAAGTCGATTATTAGGCATCTCTCAACCATATTTACAAAGTTGATTGGGTACATATAAATAGGTTGTTTAAAGCTTTAGCTATTATAAAGTTCCTACCTTTTTTACATATTTGTAAACAACTTGTAGTTACATCAAACCTGCCTTTCTAACTCAGCTCCACTACCAAGGTCAGAGCCAACAATCTGACCTTGAAACTATAAAAACTCAAAAGTGGACTGATGCAAGGAAGTTTGCAGAAGACAAAACCTTAATGACTTACTGCGATTAAACAGCAACCACAGATAATTAATGCCAAACCTGCACTGTTTCCTCTACCAATCTTATGCGATATAGGTCCAAATATATTCGCTCCAACTAGATAAGATAAACTGGCAGGCAGAAAAGCAATTCCCTGTTGCCATTCCTTGGAGTTCATTCTCTTTTCATCCATGATGGTAGAGTTGGCTCTAAAACGGAAATGCCTAGATTGCCAAAAGTAATTGAACCTTGAATTTAGAGGAAGAAAAGAAAGATCTTATGCTGTTAGTCAATTTCGTGGTTACATTAAAAACTTGGTAGATGAGCTTGGATTAATGGTAATCAATAACTACTAAAAAGCAGTCACATTAGTTACCATCGGTGACTGATTCTAGTATAGGAATCAACCCTACAAGAAGTCAATCTAGTTTAGTGTGAAACGCTCTATCTCATTAGTGGCTTGTAGTAAAATCTAGGATCCTCGTTTCGTCCTATTTGGGGTTCGTTATCTGGATGTATCTGCACCTGGTGAGTGATTTTGTTTCTACCGGGACTCAAATCCAGTACCCGTCGCTTCAAACACGAAAGCATTATCTACTAGGCCATTGGGGCACAGCCACCCCTTGTGCAAAGGGGATCATCTGTTGTTTGATACTTGTTATATTGCCTGGTTCTACTGGTCGAATTGCTTAACTCTGTGAAATTAGTACTGAGTGATGTACGATAAGATTACCAACGGAACACCACATGGTTTCAGATACACCATGTTACTGAGTGCCAACAAACATGAAGTACAAGTCCACTGCTTCCTGCAGAATTGATACTGATATTTAACTTATTTTCCTTTCAAATATTGGGAGAACACTCAATATTTAGTAGATGATAAAGCCTGCATAACTTTGCGCTACGGAGACCCATTTTGAACCGTATAACCCTTTTGCCACAACTGTCGGTTGAATAAGTTTCATTAGTTTCATTTGAGAAACCTTACTGTCGAACATGACTCACGCAAAAACGCATAAATTTTGTGAGCCGATGCCACATTCTACTAGCTGCAATTTACGGCTTTTCCTATCCTCACCGTATTCCAAATAGTAGAATACATTGAAGTGTGTTGCTATCAGGCATACGTAACAGATAGCGTAAGCAACATATCCGACATATCGTCATAAGCATATCAACCGTCTTACTTCCCATACTTAACACAATCTGCCTGGTATAGTTATTCACCTCATTAATGATTAATATTCATAATGAAGTTTCACCAGTCGTCACTTCTATGTGGATGAAGCAATCCTTGATAGAAGTGAAGCATTATAGTCTCTGTATTACTTTAGATCCCCATAAAAGCCAACTATTAGCATGCAGTATAGGATTTAGTATGATGATTGCTTCTTGCATTAACTGTACCTTTTTGAACCAGCTGTAGCTAATGACCCTTGTAAGGGAATGCTTCGAATCTGTTCAAGGTGAGTGCTTTCGACACCTATCATCAGTAGAAACGTTTATTTACTCTTTTATGTGAAGAGATCAAGGAGTATGTTCCTTCCAGTTTATAGCAGTTTAAAGCCAGTTAAAACTGATACCTTAACTCGGTAGCTATGTTGGCTTTACAGCTGTCTGATTTCCATGTTAAGCTCTGCAACGGTTTGTAGCTGTTTGAAAGATAATTTTTTCTTGTAAGTATTAAACAATTACCAGGTGGATATGTTGCCCAATACTCAGATCAAGTAATCCTGTGAACTAAAATTTTATCCAGTGGACACTTATATATCATAATGATCATCCTGTCTGTGGAGGGTTCAAGGAGAAGGGAAGCAAATTACTTTTGTTTTTAAGCCGGTTCGGGAGATGAGATTATCATCTGGGTTAGAAGTTGATTTAGAAATCATCTAGAGATCGTTATCGTTCAGAAAACTTATGAAAGATGACGTTGGTCACTTACTTAAACTACAGGTACATTCATGAGTAATGAACAGTACTAAATGTCTCACCTCTGCCTTTCTCTGTCTATTCCTTTCCACTTTCAGTTCTGATGGAATTCAATTCGTTCAAGTAGCTATATGGGGCTTGTATTTTGTTCTTCAGTGTGTGACCAGATATTAGAGAAGGCTTACTCTGCTTAATTTGTTGTTGGTACAAGTAGAAAACGAACATCATTAAAATGTTTATCTTTAAGTTCTTAAGAACGATTTCTGATAAGTTGTCGCTTAAAGATGTACATTCTTTCGACTGAGTAAATGACTAAGATAACACTATGATCTACTTAAGAATTCAGCTTACTACAACTAAGACTTACCAGCTGCAATTAAAATGTACGGATCTTTCAGTAATTCATATAAGGAAGCGCCTTTTTGACTTTCACGTTTAACAGTTGGTCTCAGTGTTAAAAGCTGAATAACTGAAATTGAAATAAAGTGAAACAGTGCCAATCTGACATAAAAATCACTTCGTGGATAGGAATTAGCGTAATGACTTAATATCTAACAATCATGAAACTATCCAGGTCAAATAATGTTGTGAATTTCTTCCAAAAAATCCGAAGACGAAAGGGTTTTTCGATTCTTTGACAAACAACTAATCATCATTTGACTGAGATAGCCGTAGTTTGGCAGACTAGTATTTATACTAGGTGGTCCAGATTTTCATCTCACCTTTAATCATCACCCAGTATAAACAACTAATCTCTTGAATGACGCGCAAAATCCAAAATATAGGAGTTAACAACAGTACAGACTAGTAAATGACAAACTTTGAATTATGAGGTGTTTGGGGGTTTAACGCCTTAAAAAGTGTGTGTTGTAGGTGTATCAACAAAATAGAATGTCGACGACGTGAGGATCTACGACGTTGAAGGTAAACGAGTACTTGATGAAGGATGGAATATCATGAAAAAAACTGAATAAAATTGAATACAGTCATAGAACAGCAAATATATCAATATACTAGACTGTTAAGTTGATCCGAATAGCAAAATTTTATTGGAGCTGAACGATTAAATGTACGAATGGAGTAATATTGTTAAAACGTAAGTATACTACTCCTCAGTAGTAAGTAGTATACAGCTAAAATGACAAAACGAATGGAAACGAAGAAAATGAAAGGGAATGAAAGAATTAACTAATTTACATAGGTTAATGCCAGTAGAGAGCAATCAGTTCGGTCCGATTAACAAGCAATAACACTAAATTTACATTCGGCTGTTAATCTCTCAATAGTAACACTGTACTCAGAATAAGCTTTGAAATGTACAGGATACGGACGGAAATGCTATAAAGATATGTAGAATACTGACAATAGCCATTCATTCAGGTTTGTTATACTAGTGATATAGCTTGCTGAGTGTTAACTGGTCTGGGAGTTGAAAATTCATTTCCATCGGATATGCATTAGCTTCTTTCACTCAGTTAAGAGTAATCCGTTTGGGTATAGAAAGTGATATTAGATGACGGTTTATTCTCTTAATATTCAGTAATACTTCATCAGAGTACAAAATTTCTACTTTAATGCTTTTTTCCAATCTTGATTGATAAAGTATGATTATATTTACAAGTATATGATGATTGAATTTACGATGAGGCATAATTGATGCCACACTTTGTAAAATAGGCTACAGATATTATGGGGACAGAGCTACGGTAATTAGCTGCCAACTAACTGTCAATTTTACTATAATCACAGAAGTAATTTTTTTGGCTTTAATGCAAGCCAACAAGTGACATGTGAATGTTCATCGATATGAGTTGAACAATACGATTGATTGAGGTGAATATTATTAAGTACGTAAATGATTATGTAGAGACTAAGCATATGGAACAACTGACAAGTGGTTGTTTCACTTTTCTATGTCTAAAAATACCTTAGTATAAAATGACTGACGTCTGATTACACATTTTATTCAGTTAGAATATTTTTCTAATTTTTCGTACTTTCCTTAGAAAAAATGAAACACGTACAATCTTCACCTGGTAGTAGACATTGATTATTTTGTAGAATTATGCAGAAGTTCCATCTAATCACCAACAGAATTACTAGAAATGATCACATGCATTAGTATAGAAAATGACGAATTAATAGTTTCCCTGGATGTTACAGCGTTATACACAACCGACTAGGAATACTATATCTATCCTCCTCACTGGAATGAAAAACCGTTTTCTGGCAACATACTTCCAATTTAATGGCAAGATATACAAACAGATGAAAGGAACTTCGATGGGACCACCGATATCCGCATTAATTGAAGTACCTGTGATGCAGAGACTCGAAGCAATCATCTCGCCTGTCGTTAAACCGAAAATTTAGATCCGCTAAGCGAATTATACTTTTATTATCATTGGAAATCTTGATGCAGAAAGCAGTTATGATTTGATCAACAACGTTGCAACGATATCGAATTCAAAATGGAGAAGGAATCGAACAATCAACTAGATTTTTTAGTCAGTAGAGTCAGTGGAGGAGAACTGGAAAGTCAAATGTACAGGAAGTTAACGCACACTGATCTCATCGTCAACTGCAGTAGCAATAACCCAACAAAACACAAAAGTAAGAAAAGTGAGGACTCATTGCAGTATAACAACTTCATGGAGAAACGAAGAAAACCACTTCATGTCCATCCTGAAGGAAAAGTGGTTATCGAATAAACTCCATCAGAAGATGCGTATCCTATTTGTTCATTATCAACTAAAAAAAATCATTGGCAGCAGTCAATAGATGGATCATTCTGCCGTATATAAGGAGCGTTTCAGCGATCATGACAAGATTACGGAGACCGCTAGGATTCGGTATAGCTCATAAACCAGTAAATTCTTTTCATATCATATTATTCAGACCAAAGAATGCAACAGCCGAAGAAGAAAAACTAAACATCATTTCAGAAATCACCTGCAATAATTGTGATCTGCACTACACTGGACAACGTGATCGTCCTCTTCACCTTCGTTTACACAAACACTAATTGACTATTAAACGTCACGACGTTTCATCACCCATTTCAAAGCCAGTGGATAACTATGGAGATAAATTCAATTTTGACAGTGTAAAACTCTTGGACACAGGTAGCACAAAAAAAGTCAGAGAATTCCTCGAAGGTTGACATTCAGGTCAGTCAGCAATCAATAGATGTATAAACAGAGAACCAATCTATGAAGCAGTCAGAAAAATGATGAACAACAAAGAATTCAGAGATGAGGTAGTGAAACAGTCAACAGGAGAATCCATGAAGTAAGCAGTTGGTCAGGACAAGCTGCCGAATAACTCACGAAGAGATATTGAAGTAAGTACTGATGATGTTGTTTAGAAAAACAATGAAATCTTCAAGTTAAAACCACCCAGTTCAGATAGCGCAGAATAACGATAGACATTCAAAAAAGGCATTGATTTTTCAAATATCTGAAATAGATCATGTTACGTCCATATAACTTTCAGGTTGTGTACTACTTCATAGCTGAAATTACTTAACAAAAGATTCTGAATTTAGACGTTTTACTTGTACTTGGTTGCTGAGATATTTCTGTAGCTTCAAGTACTGAAATATTTACGAAGGGACTGGAAGTTCAACCATACAACATTGAATAAATAAACAATTTCAGCAAGCTTTTATTACAACAGTTGAGGCAATTCACGATTGAATCATATCAGTCTACCAGGTTAACAATGTGACTGACAAGTTGATTGCTTTAGTATCTCAGTGGATGTTGTTTAGGGTTAGATCACTGGAGATTACTGAAGACAAATCATAACTGAAATCATGTAACGGAATAGAATAGAATGGAGTAATAACTGCATTATTCCAAACAGTACGTGTGATGCAGTATAGAGTTCTCAGTGTGTAATAGTCCAACAGATTCATTCTCTTTGCAACTTCTTTAAGCGATATAATGCTAATGATAACAGTAGTGAAGTTACAAGGTGAAACAGGCACCTTGTATTACATTAAAGTTTGGTTTGGACTGGTGAATGGATAGAATATTGAGCGTAATTTTGATGGTGGTAGTTTATTCAGTCAGAACCAAATTCTACGATTCGATATACTTTTCCAAGGGGTAGTAATGTACTGTATTTCTTCACATTCAGAAGACCATCTCTAATCGGTGTAAGATTTTTTCTTTGTTTTAATTTTAGCTTGAGAAATGGCAGTTTGAACCCATTTTAAAAGTGCGCGAGAGTACTTGACCCGTTTAAAAGACACATTTATGTGGTTAAAACAAATTAAAAGGGAAGAATTTAGTGAAACAATGTTTGGTATCCTAAGGTTGAAGCAATACGCCATTACTTTGAATCACATACATATTCAACGATTAAGAGTCAAGATCATAACATGTTAATTCTAATCCTGCTTAGATATGAACTAATGAGGCTGTAGTGAATCTGGATACAAATGGTTAAACTAACAGCTACGAAATTAATGTAATCAGGAGTCATTTTTTACTATCAAACAAAAGTTTTAACTCTATCCCGAGTTTTATGGAGGTTTATGAATTGATTTCAGGTTGAAATCTATTTTGGCCTGACATCTGTTGGAGGAATACTGGAAACCTTGGAGCACTGGTGAGCTGTTTCGTCCGACAAGTAAGGGATTCTTCATCAGCAAAAACCAGCACGAAAACTATCACGTCCCGTGGCCAACACGTTACTCGAAGATCCTGGGTTCGGTCCGTGATGGGATCATAGGTGCGCATTGCTGAGGAGTCCCATATCAGTCAGATGAAACAGCAGTCCAGTACAGTTTACAAGCATCAGTATCACTAAATAAGATGAAATGATAAACACTTATTAGGTGTCTAGTTGGCACCAAATTAAAGTTACGGGAACTCACTTCCATTCAACATGGCCAATCCAGAGAGTATAAGAAATGGAGCCTCTTTACTAATGAACTGAAATGTGACGCCTCCATACGGTGCACCGACTGAAAAAAAACATTTTAACAAAACAAATCACTTTTACGTTGTATCTACTGTGTTGAGTCATAGTTAACAGGCGTTTTTTCAAAACTTGGGGGCAAAAGTCATAAATCAGAACAGCATAAAAGACCACCATAAGTGTTTAACTTAAGGATTGAGGTGGTTATACTTTAGTTTATCAGAATGGACTACAATACCACATTATAGAGGTCAAGTGATAACGTCTCGATGCTTTCATTGTCTGATGTATTTTTTCATCTAAGAAGACAGTACAGACTAACCAATAAGTACATCCGAGTAATAGAAGTTGACTGTTTCTCAATTGTCACAACTGAAGCCGAAAAATGTCAGTTACAATTAAACAACGCACGGATAAACTCTGACAACGAACGAGGTCGCGAGACGGCTGACCAATAGGGCATTACTAATGAGCAATGTTTACTTTTTGCGTGCATTTTAACCATTTTTGATGTTGAAACGGGCATTCTTTACTCTTAAAATAGCTCTTGGATGTTCCTGCAACCTGGTTGGTTGGCGAAAATCATCTGTGTTTTCGTGGTCCTCAGTAGTTATTTCCTAACTTCACCCTTTCACAAGAAAATATCTGATTAATAAGAACATGTTATTTTCGAAAATATTATGTTACTGATGACGTTTGGTAGGAAGACTCCAGTTTAATTTCTTGTTGACACTAGTTAACAAGGCATATCTGGAATTATTTGGAAACCACTGTACCCAAGAGCATTCCAGTCTGCACTACAGAGTGTTGAAATTGGTGAGTTTACCACCTAGTTCTTGAGACCACAGTTCATCTCCTGTAGCAGTGAGTTATGTATTCGGGGAAACCAGCGTGGAAGAACACTGGAACTCTTTGAAAGAGATGTGGAAGGAAACCTGCATGACCGTGCTAGGAAGGAAGAAGAAGCAAGACAAGAAATGGATCTCGACGCACACATGGAAGCTGAAAGAGGAAGGAGAGGAAGATAGTGAAGCAGAAGATAGATCAGTACAGCGCAGGGATGAACAACGAAAAGAAGAACTGAACACAACCTATAAAACACTACACAGCACAAAGAAGTGAAGAAGAATGCGAGGGAAGACAAAAGACGCTTCTACGATACATTGGCAAGTGAAACAGAACAAGCTGCAGGTAGGAGAGACCTGACAACATTGTATCAACTAACCAGGTTGCTATCTGGGATGGAAGGGACAACAAATATGAAACTAATGAGAGATAGTGAAGGAAACTTAGTTACCACCAAAGAGGAGAAACAACGGAAACGATGGGCTTACCACTTTAAAAAAACTCTTGAATCGACTACCACCACCACCTGCAACTCGTCCAGGAACACCATCAGCAGCCCAGCCACAGAACTATCATTGAACACAAACCCTGCGACATAATTAAAAGTCATGAACGTCATAAAGCTGCTGAAATCCGGGAAAGCAGCAAGACCTGATAGAATTCCACCAGAAGTACTGAAAACAGACTCAGAGACATCAGCGGACATGCTTACACCACTAGTGCAGAAGGTTTGCAAGGAAGGAATGAAAGGTACCTCTTGACTGGAAGAAGAGCTATCTTGTCAAACTCTCGAAGTAAGACGACCTAAGTCTTTGCAAGAACAAGAACTGGCGCGGAATCATGCTCCATGCCCTGTCCACCGAAAGCAAAATAATAAGCTGCATTATCCTGGAGAGGCTAAAATATGCTCTGCATTCAAAATTATGACCAGAACAGGCTGGCTGGCCTCAGGGATAACAAATCATGTGCGAATCAAATTTCAACTCTACGCTAAGCATCATCGTAGAACAGAGTATGGAATGGCAGCCAACTCTCCATCTCAACTTCACCAATTTTGAAAAGGCCTTCGAAAACGTCAACCAAGAAGTAATTTGACAGCTGCTTCAACACTACTGTTTTAGTGCCACTAACCTTTATCAACCTCATTCAACAGCTATATACTATATGATGACACTACATGCCAAGTGATTTACAATGGCAAATTAAGTGATGCCTTTGAAGTGAAGTGAAGACAGGTTGACAGGTAAGACAAGGTTGCCGCCTACTATCACCAATGATGATCATCCTGATTGTGGTCCACTCGACTTGACTGGATCATGCAAGAAACAACTATGAGAAGTAAGAAGATGGGCGTACGCTCGCTATGTGATCGATGAAAAGACAGAGTTTGCTGATGCGTTGTAATGCTGCTTTCACCTGACGATGAAAAGACCCTACATAATTTGGATTTGCTGATGGTTTATGTTCAGTGTCGAACACACCTGAAGATCTGTAGGCGAAAACCAACAAGTTGTCAGAAGAGGCAGGGTAGCGAAGACGGGACTTCAGATGAACGTAGAGAATACAGAGATAATGAACATACCCAACCAACAACAAAAACAACAACAAGAACCAATCACCATCAATGGGAGAAATCTAAAGGGAGTTGATTTTTCACCTACCTAAGTAGATAGCATCGTTTCAACTACAGGCGGCACAGACACAGATGAAGATCTGAAAGCCAGCCAGGATCGAAAAGACGGTAAGACAGGCCTTCAGTAATCTGAAATCAATGTGGCGATCTACTGCACTCAGCTTGAAGAACAAGATGTGGCTTTTGAACACTAATTCAGTCAAGTCAGTGATTCTGTGTGGTGGTTGGGAGACTTGGCGGGTTACGAAAAGTATTTCCAACAAACTGCAGGCATATATCAACAGCTGCCCTTACGCTCACTCGATAATGAAGATGGAGATCAGATGGCCAGAAAGAATAAGCAAGGAGGAACTCTGGCCTAGCAACAAGCCAAGGAAGCAAGAACCCATCGCTCAAAAAGTATACAGAAGAAGAAAGTGGAAACGGGTTGGATTGTGCATGCACTGTGAAGACCATTTGGAGATATCGCGCTCCAGGCCAGGCTGTCGAGTGGAGCCCAAATGGGAAACCATGGGTTGGGGGTCCTAGGGTAACATGGAGCAGACGGTGTGAGGAAGAAATGGAAGGTGATGGGCAGTGGTGGAGCCAGGCTGAAAAGGCTAGTGAGAAGAGAGAGAAATAGTTATGTACTGCTGAAGTCCTATGTCCCACTAGGAACCGAAAGGACTACTACTAATAATAATATACACGAACTGGTCGTCATGATGTCTTTAGTTGTTAACACTGCCAGAAGTCTTTTGATCACTTCTGCCATGTGGTAGCCAAGTTAAGTGATATGACACTGGTGTTCACTGTATTTTTGGTATTGAGTCATTCAAGTTAGTGGCCATAGTGAAAATATGATTGGCAGATTTCAGTCACATGAGAGCACCAAGGATTAGAGAACTACGTATGTTACTCACTGGTGAGTTATTCGTGTATTTTAAGATCTTCAAGTATTTAACTGTACTCTTTGTGTGCATTTGTCATTATTATACGATAAAACGTGATCATTATCATATGACATTTTGCGAGGCAGAATAAAAGGTACTTACGAATCTCAGTTGGATTACTTCCAAGCTGAAAGCGGTTAACGTGAAGATAGTCAATTCCCCCTTTTCTGGAATTGGGAATTCGCTATTCGCCCTTATATTCCTAGATAAGGTCGCTGTTTTCTGTGAACCAGAAATTTGTTACATACAAGAGGTCAAACTTCATCCACAGTTAAACTTTACTCCTGAAACCAGAAAACTTCATCTCAGTCAACAGTGCGGGGGGGGTACCTATTATCTTAAGTGTTCAGAACTTTTCACCATATCTAAATAAATGACACTAATTCTACTTTCCTTTGTTGTTCAGGAAGAACATTGTTCGTCAACTTGATTTAACTGCGTAACTGACTTCGCGGTGGTTAGCAGTGAGATGCAGGGTGCAAGCTTCATTCTCTTTGAGATTCATCAACGAGGTGGATGTGCATCTCAAGTTTTCGTGACCTTCTTACCTGGCGTACAAAGTCTTGCCGTTTAAAGCAGTAGGTTCCGTCTTAGAGTCTCTCTTGTACCACCGTAATTCACTGGGATGCAATCTCACCCATCTGATGACACCTAAATAGTAAAAAACGCGGTACCTGGGTTCCATTGACAATCACTTCCAAGCAAACCACATCACACGAGATATTCAGGCAGTTTCAAAGAAACCACACAGAGCCAACAGAGACCAGCTGTTTCGGTGTAATGTTAATAATCAACAGGAAAATGCACGTAAAAATATAAAAAATTCATCACTTTTCATCGTTTCACCTCCAGCAGTTAAATATAATAGTCAAAATTTCAGTCGTTTAAACTAAATCTAACTTGATATGATGGTTTATTCACAAAGAGGAAACGATTTGATATTCAGTATCTTTTAAAACGCAAATGAATGCTACAACAGTTGAGAAAAACGGCGTGTGGTTACTTATGTATGTCATGAACTGAAGGAAAGGGGTTTTCGGAAACCTGTCTTCTGGTATTTGATATAAGGTGATAAATTAGTAGTTTCATATGCTTCTCATCTTGTGAAATTCCTTTGATCCTCTGTAAGGTTTGATCACTTTCTGGAGACTTTTCGTTAGGGGTTAAAGTCAGATGAAGAATTCTTGAGAAACTGAGAGTAGTGGTCTGGTGCCAGTACGAACTCTCATCCGTGTCATTGTACGACCTCACATTGGGATCAAACTCAGGACGGTTATGTTTTACAGTTAATGTATTATCAATTACTCCTTAGATTGGAATCTAGTAGGCTGGGTTTTCTAGTTTCTTGTAATTAATGATACGGTAGTCACTATTCATGGGTGGGATTACATTGTTCATTTTGGGCTTGCTACTAAGCCATATGCTGAGAAAGACTCATGATAATGGAGTTGTTGTTTGCAGGTAGTGAAGGCTAGTGCTTTTTGTTGCTGGAATACCGTAATAGTTTTCTATCAGTTTCACAGTAGGTTATTGGACGGAGTAAAGGTTAATTTCTTAATGGACCCTGGCTTTGCTAAATCCTTGGGATTTGTAAGATGAGATCATCACAAAAGGAACGAATGCATGAGTAATCTG